CTGTTCTGAAGTAACTCGCCTTCCAGTTTGTGCTAAAACGTCGTTATCTGGGCGAACTTAAAGCAAACTGCCATTTAAAGCCTTCTTTGTTCAAAACGTTGAATCTCAAAATTCGTCAGAGTTCATTTCTTTTGCAATGAGACAACTTAAAGAACGTTTTTCGAAATGCCCCTAAGTCAAGCCTAATGATCAAGATTAAATACTTGCCTAATACCGTTTATTTTTTACAGTTGAAAAATGTTCAAGTGTATAGAGAATTTTATGAGAAAAAAACGCAAACTTTGTGGAAAATACAAGAATATTGAACACAATGGCATTTGCTGTTAAACGCTTTTAAACAATAAGCTTTAGATGAGGGAAGTTCCATTTAACTTCGAGCTGATTAGGGGCTTCAATATTAATTGGTGATTTAACGAGAATAATCTCCTATGGGGCATACAATGTCGTATCTCAGCCTGCAAGTTATGATGTTTGACCGGAATATGCATAGTGCCGTTTATGCTAATTGTGGTTCCATTAAAAAACCTCATTCACTGAAACTCGATGAAGATACCAAAGCTCAGACAGAAAAAAATGATTTTAAATATGTCATCTACCACAAGTTACATTTCCCTGTATAGAGTAATTCAGCAAAACAGAATTACTGTGAGGGCAGAAACCATTTAATGCATTTTTTCAAAAGAACTCCAAACCGAGATAGGACTTTTTGCACTGAAAAAACGATTGGCTTGTTGTGGAAAGAAGCACACACTTGTCTTCTCTCCGACAAAAAGTGACAAAATACATAAATAAATCGCAGAGAACTTACATTTCTTGGAGAGAAGACAACCAACTGAACGCATTGGACTCAATGTTACCGATGTTAACGTTTAGCAGGAGCCTGTCAAATTAAGGGGTAACATCATTGACAATTAGTGAAAAAGGTATTACATGCAAAGTTGGAAAGAAAATTGATAATTTGTAGGCCATTTTTCCTAGAGAAATATTGCAGATAACTACGAAGCTCATCCTCTTGGGAAAAATAGAGCGGAAATGAGCACCTTTAAATAAAAATTATGGAAAGAGAAAGACACTTCCTTTGCGCTGTGATGGCACAACTTGGTATAGAAAGGCGCGTCGAAGGGCTGAGGCTCCAGGCTAAGTATCTTAAGACAGGGCTGGGCCTCAGCAATTAAACATATTTTTTTTTTGTATACGGGATGCATTGTCAGATCGGTTTTTAAATTTGTATGCCTTTTTTATTTGTCTGTATTTAATCTAGAAATGCTCACAACTCCCCTCCGTTTTCAAAACACAAACAGTGATGAATTCAACTTCGTTAATTCCAG